CAGACTGGTTCCAGATGATAGAAAGCAACAGTAACTCAAATAACAACTTGTTACACCCAATAAACCCAGGGGTATACAACCTTGTTACAACCCAAGGTATGCATCTCAATCTCTGAATGCACAACTTGCCTAACCTTGAAGCACATGGCCTACAGCTGCAGAGGACCTCACTGGGTGCCACTCCTATCAGCTAAGAATAGGAAACGAAGGCTACAGGCTCACCAAAATTGGACAATAGAAGATTGGAAAAATGTTGCCTGATCAGTCATGAATTCAGCTGTAACAATCAGATGGTAGGGTCAGAATTTGGCGCAAACAACATGAAAGTATGGATCCATCCTCCCTTGTATCAACAGTTTATGGATGTGCAGCCGACAAATCTGCAGCAACTGCATCATGCTATCATGTCAATATGGACCAAAATCTCTGAGGAATGTTTCAAACACCTTGTTGGATCTATGCCACAAAGAATGAAGGAGGTTCTGAAGGAAAAAGGGGGCCCAGTCTAATACTAGCAAAGTGGACCTAATAAAGTGGCTGGTGAGTATATATTGTGGGGAGATTATACTCGTGTGGCAGATGCTTTTCCAATGAGTTGTGCCAGTCCAAACTGTAATTAAGGGCATGGCAGCCCACTTTTATTAAACCAAATGGAAAGTTCACATAGACGTCAGTTTCTTCTACATCAATATGAACAAATGAAAGTATCAAACCACCTGACTCCCTTTTTGGCAGCACCACTTCTCTTCTTACCAGTTCCTCTGACTATGTTGTCCAGCTCTACTGGTTCCCTTGGCTCTCTTAGCCTTTAGTTGCAGTGCTCTGTCCTGGCCTTCTGAATAGGGGTTTTCCTGACACCCTGAAAGGAGACCTCTGCCCCCTGGGACAAGACCCTCCTCAAACTCTCTTGGCTCCTGGCTGCTGGGGCTCCTTGGCCCCCTGGGTGGGACCTCCTGTCTCTTGGCTCCTGGCTGGGGCTCCTCTGACCCCTGGATGGGAACTCCTGTCTCTTGGTTACTGGCTGGGGCTCCTCTGACCCCTGGGTGGGACCTCCTGTATCTTGGTTCCTGGCTGAAACTCCTGACCCCTGGGTGGGACCTCCTGTCTCTTGGTTCCTGGCTGAAACTCCTGACCCCTGGGTGAGACCTTATCTCTTGGCTCCTGGCTGAGGTTCCTCTGACCCCTGGGTGGGACCTCCTGTCTCTTGGCTCCTAGGGCTTCTCTGACACACCTTCCTGGGGCTTCTCTGACACCTGAGTGAGACCTCCTGTCTCTTGGATCCTGGCTGGGGCTCCTCTGACCCCTGGGTGAGACCTCCTGTCTCTTGGCTGATGCTCCTCTGACCCCTAGGTGAGACCTCTTGGCTCCTGTCTGGGGTTCTTCTGACCCATGAGTGAGAACTCCTGTCTCTTGGCTCCTGGCTGGGGCTTCTCTGACACCTGAGTGAGACCTCTTGGCTCCTGTCTGGGGTTCCTCTGACCCTTGGGTGAGACCTCCAGTCTCTTGGCTCCTGGATGGGGATTCTCTGACACCTGAGTGAGACCTCTTGTCTCTTGGCTCCTTGCTGGGGCTACTCTGAACCTTGAACACAAGACCTCCTGTCTCTTGGCTTCTGGCTGGGGCTCCTCTGACCCATTGGTGAACCCTCCTGCCTCCTGAACTGGGAGCTCTGAGCTATCCTCAGGTTTCGTACATAACCCTGAAGACCTCTGTATTCAGACAAGCTGCAGGCATGAGACACAGAATTGAAGGTTCCAATCCAGAACTACAGAATCCATAAAAAAACAAAAACACAGCATTCTGCACTCAGAAACAATAGTCCAGAACATTGTATCAACCCTTAATGTGAATCCTGTTACATTCTCCTCCATTTTTGCAGTGTCAGGGTCTTGCTATGTTTTATACACACACACACACATACATATATATATATACACACACACAATTTTTTTTTTGTTTTTTACATACATATACACACATTAACACAGTATCTCACCTGTAATAAATACATAAAATAAATCTCATTTCCACTTTAGTTGTCATCTACATGGGGCTGGTGTATTGGGAAGAAGAGACAGGATATAGAATGGTGATAGATCTCAATCGGGGCGGACTGACCATTTGGAAACTCGGGCATTGCCCAAGGGCCCGGGGTCAGTAGAGGGCCCCATGAGATGCCCCTGGTACCTTTTTCATAGGCTTTTTTGAGTTTGGGCAAGGACACAGGGGCCCCATGATCCCCTATTGCCCGGGGGCCCCATGAGTTGTCAGTCCGCCCCTGATCTCAATAGTGCTAAAATACCAACATACCACATCAGGAATGAACTGGCGGCGTCTCCTCCGGAGGGAACGCACAGCCTGCGACACATCTAGACAGCCATCACTGCGGATCTGGTCACAGAGTATGATTCCGGCACAGAAGACACCCGAGCGGCTTGCTCCATCGCTGTGCAAACACAAAGGATATTAAACATTGGGTAATTATTCTGTTGGCCATTTTTGGTGAATAAAATGAACAATGCAGCTGTTTTACTACAGCGAAAAACATGTCAGAATCTTTGCAGCAAGTCTAGTATATATTTATATAGGATGGCTGGTGGCCATGTAAATATAATCAAAGCATCCTGCAGACTTACAAGGCCTGAGCAGACCATGAGAGGTGTAATAGACCTGAGATAACCCACCTGAAAACAGCAAAATTGGGCCAGCCCCTATGGATAACCTAAGCTCCAATGAATGACACAAAATAGATGTGCAGCCTGATAAATGCTGTGTGCAAAGTTACAGGACTGTTCAGAAAGTTAACCAATGATACCACAAAGCTACTAATTGACTCCCTTGTCATCTCTTACCTCAATTACTGCAACTCCCTATCCATTGGCCTACCTCTGCAAAGACTATCCTCCCCTTCAGTCTATTATGAATGCTTCTGCCAGACTCACTTACCAACCCATCAGTGTCCACCACTCCTCTCCTTTGGCTTCCACTTGCTCAATGAAGAAAATTTGAAATGCTAATAACTTCTAAAGCTATATGTAACTTGTCACGGAGCTGGTCCTTCCTTCCCCATCCTCCAGGTTTGCTGGCTGCCACCCCCCACTCCTCAGCAGCCCCTCACTCTTCTGTCCCAGCCATGCTGGGACTTCTAGTCCTCCATGTCCCTGACACAGGCAGCCCTCAGCAGCCCCTCACCCCCCCCTGGCTTGCAGTCTGGCCTCCTGCTGAAGGAATCCATAACAGGCCCCCTCCTCCCTTCCCCCTCATGCAAAAATTCCTGGGCTCCCTGGGCAGGTCTGGAGACCTGGGAGACAGGGTCAATTGCCATGGTAACCCGACAGGAAGTATCCGGTTACCAATAAGGCACATATCTCTATACTTAGGAGAGAGCAAGGAAATCCCCGTGTGTTCTCCTGGCTGCGTGTGTGAGGAAAGGCTGCGCTGAGTGCCAGCTTCTCTCATACGACCATCCCCCGGCCTCCTCCTCATCTCCCGGACTGTCTGTGCTGCCTGGAATCCCTGCACTGTGGAGGAATCTTCTGCTGTCCCCGTGCATCTGCCTGGCTGGATCTATCCCCTGCCTGGACTTAACCCCTTGCTCTTCATGAACCTGCCTGGACTTAACCCTTCCCTGTCTGGAGCCTCCTGTGTGGACTAACCCTGTGAATTACAATACCCCTGTTGTTCCATATTTCCTTCCAGAGAACTGTACTGTGTTGCTGTGTCTGGTGTGGATCTGTGGACTAAAGGAACTGTTGTCTGTGCTCCAAAAACCTCCCCAATAAAAGCACGTTGGGTTCCGTGCAATCTGTCTCTGTGTGCTCTCTGGTTCTCATGACACAACTCCTCTGAAACCCCAATCTGTCTCCCATTCTGTTGGAGTTTGCCATTCCCTGAAAATGTATCTCTTTTTGGAATGCTATCCCACCTCTACATAACAGCTAAATGAACATTTATCTATCAACTCATCCACCCACAATTACTGCCTCAAGAGTGGACAACATCATCATCCCAGTGTAATTCAAGCATGTCTTCTTTGGGGGAGAATTGGGTACTATCAACCAAACATGAGAAATGTCCTTCACCATCCCATCGTTTCTTCATCATCCCGCTGTCCTTTACCATCAACGCCATCTTGACATATCCCTTTTTTCCTTCCCCTTCCCCTTTATATGACAGCATACTAACCCTCTTGTCTTAATTTATATTGTAAATATACTGTCCCCCTTACTGGCTCCAGGGATATTGTAAATATTTTTTTGTAGCTCTTGTGACATCATCCTAGGTGCTACAGAATTCCTATGGCCACCATAGCCAGGAATGAAGAGAGTGCCTTTAGGCCCCTGTGGGATGCCAATTGCTCCTCCTCTCAGCCATCATGGGCCATGCTGTGCTCTCAGTCACAAGGCTTGGGGGTGTGGTCATATTTGATTGGCATTTGGGGAGAATGGGTCTCTCCTGTAACAATTGTAAGAACCCTCCCACCACTGCCTACATATTGGTGCAGTGCTCAACAGGGTGACAACAATACAATTACTTCACTGCAAATGAAGCTTTTGTTGTCAGAATGCTGAAGGAGGTTTCAGGCATTGGCAGAGTCACAAGGCATAAAAGCCCCCACAATAGAAATCATACAATGCAATATGCAGTGTGTTCTTTTAACATTTTAAGCTGCTATTAAAAAAAAAAAATTGTACTATAGTTCTGTGTTAAGTCCTGTGGTGCTAGTCCTGGCCTCCCTGGCCTCAATTCACACTTGGCATGAAGTCTGTATGTATGTCTGGGCTTCCTCTGTGCATTCTGGTTTCCGCTCACAATTCAAAACAATTCCTCCTAAATCAGTTCACCAGTACGGCACCAACCCATCATACATCACCAGTCCCTGCATGAGCCATGATCCAAATCGGAACAATTTAAGGTACATTTTTTATAGTCAGCCGCCATACCACAGAGGAAATACTGAAACTTACAGGCAGGTCACCAGGATGTGACTTTCCGGGCACAGTCAACTGGTGCTTCTCCACCTCTCCAAGTAGGCTGATGAAGCCTGATGGATTCTTCGGGAGAGGTTTGTCCAAGGGCCAGGAGTCCAAGCACCACAGCTTCACCTTCAGGATGTTGTCATAGGTCTGTGGATAACAGAGCTCACTTGTTAGTTAGATCCATTGTTCCTGCTATTGAATATACAACACAATCTGAAAAAGTAGAGCCTAAAAGAATTGATCTCTGTCATCTCACAGCCATTGTTTCCAAAATTTAGAGACTCTTTAATGACTGGCATAGTACCACTGGATTAGCGTAAGGCCCAACGTGGTGCCAACATTAAAAAGGGGTCAAAATCTTTATTAAGTAATTATAGACCTGTTAGTGTAACTTCTATAGTTGGGAAGATACTGGAGAGTTTAATAAAAGACCACATAGATGAGTTCTTGCTTTGAAAAAATATTTTAGGCAACAGACAGCATGGAGTCATGAAAGACAGAAGTTGTCAAACAAATCTGATTGTTTTTTATGAGGAGGTGAACAAAACCTTGGACAGAGAGATGGCGGTGGACGTGGTATACTTGGACAGAGAGGTGGCGGTGGACGTGGTATACTTGGACAGAGAGGGGTGGCGGTGGACGTGGTATACTTGGACAGAGGGGTGGCTGTGAACATGGTATACTTGGACAGAGGGGTAATTGTGGACATGGTATATGTGGACGGAGGGGTGGCTAGTGGACGTGGCACACTTGGACAGAGGGGTGTGACTGTGGATGTGGTAGACCTGGACAGAGGGGTGGCTGTGGACGTGGTAGACTTGGACAAAGGAGGTGTGTTGTGGATGTGGTAGACTTGGGCAGAGGGATGGTGGTATGGACATGCTATACATGGGACAGAGGGGTGGTGGTGGACGTGATATACTTGGATTTTGCAAAAGCATTTGACACAGCTCCCCACACACGAGCAACCCGGCTAAATGTGTAAGGTAAAAGTCTACGGGCTGGAAAAGTCTGTATGTACAAATGATTAGAAAACTGGCAAAAACATCATATTCAGAGAGTAGTGGTTAATAATGATTCCATACTCTGAGTGGTCTAGGGGTGTCAGTGGTGTAACCCCAAGGTTCAGTGTTGTTAGTGACGTAGCCCAAGCTCAGTGTTATTAGTGGGGTTGCCCCAAGGTTCAGTGTTATTAGTTGGTGTATCCCAAGGCTCTCAGTGTTATTAGTGGGGTTCCCCAAGCTTCAGTGTTATTAGTCACTGTGTGTACCCCAAGGCTCAGTGTTATTAGTGGGGTACCCCAAGGTTCAGTGTTATTAGTGGGGTAACCCAAGGTATTCAGTGGTTATTAGGGGGGGTATCCCCAAGGTTCAGTGTTGTTAGTGAGGTACCCCAAGGTTCAGTGTTATTAGTGGGGTACCCCAAGGTTCAAGAGTGTTATTAGTGGGTGTACCCCAAGGTTCATTATTGGGACCCTTACTTTTTAATCTATTTATAAACAATATGGGGTGTGAGATTATAAATCCCATTTCAGTCTTTGCAGATGAGACACACAAGCTGTGCCGGGGAATAACGTCCTTACAGGATGTCTCCAATTTACAAGCCAATCTCACAATCTCTGTGTAATTGGGGGACTATGGGTCCAACGAGGGTTAATGGTGATAAATGTAAGGGGCTCTGCACTTGGGGGCTAAGAATAAACATGCATCATACATACTATGGGGGGTACAACTGGGGGGTCAATGGTGAAGAAGGATCTGGGGGGGGGGCAATGGTGTGAGAAGGATATGGTAGAGATCACAAGCTTAATAATAGCATGCAATGCCAAGCTACGGGTTCTAGAGGTATAGACTCCAGCCAGAGAGAGAGAGATATAATTTCCCCCGGTACACATAATTAGTAATACCTCATCTGGCAATATGCAGTCAGTTTGGGCTCCGATTTACAAAAAAGAATATTGGGGAACTGGAGAAAGTACCAGAGAAGAAAACTAAACTGATATGAAGGCATGGAGGAGCTCAACTATGAGGAAAGATTAGAGGAACCAAAATTTATTCTCTCTTGAGAAAGAGGATATTAAGGGGGGATATGATCACCATGTATAATACATAAGGGGGGGGGGTGATGAACTCCATGTATAATACATAAGGGGGTGATATGATCTCCAAGTAAAATACATATAAGGGGGGGGGATATGATCACCATGTATAAGAACATAAGGGGGATATGATCTCCATGTATAATATATAAATGTATAATACATAAGGGGGGATATGATACTCCATGTATAATACATAAGGGGGGATATGATCTCCATGTATAATACATAAGGGGGGATATGATCTCCATGTATAATAATACATAAGGGGGGATATGATCACCATGTATAATACATAAGGGGGGGGATATGATCTCCATGTATAATACATAATGGGGGGGATATGATCTCCATGTATAATACATAAGGGGGGGATCCATGATAATCCATGTATGATCCATGTAAATACATAAGGGGGGATATGATCTCCATGTATAATACATAAGGGGGGATATGATCTCCATGTATAATAATACATAAGGGGGGATATGATCTCCATGTATAATACATAAGGGGGGATATGATCTCCATGTATAATAATACATAAGGGGGATATGATGATCCCATGTATATAATACATAAGGGGGGGGGGGATATGATCTCACCATGTATATAATACATAAGGGGGGATATGATCTCCATGTAATAATACATAAGGGGGGGGGGGGATATAATGATCTCCATGTATAATACATAAGGGGGGGGATATGATCTCACCATGTATAATACATAAGGGGGGGATATGATCTCCATGTATAATACATAAGGGGGGATATGATCTCCATGTATAATACATAAGGGGGGGGATATGATCTCCATGTATATAATACATAAGGGGGGATATGATCTCCATGTATAATACAAGGGGGGATATGATTCTCCATGTGGGAATAATACATAAGGGGGGATATATGATCTCCATGTATAATACATAAGGGGGGGATATCTCCATCTCCATGTATAATACATAAGAGGGGGGATATATGATCTCCATGTATAATACATAAGGGGGATATGATCTCCATGTATAATACATAAGGGGGGGATATGATCTCCATGTATAAAAATACATAAGGGATAGGGGATAATAAGGGGAAATCTCCATGTATAATACATAAGGGGGGATATGATCTCCATGTATAATACATAAGGGGGGATATGATCTCCATGTGTATAATACATAAGGGGGATATGATCCATGATCATCCATATGATCTCCATAATACATAAGGGGGGTAGATATGATCTCCATGTATAATAATACATAAGGGGGGGATATGATCTCCATGTATAATACATAAGGGGGGGATATGATCTCCCATGTATAAATACATAAGGGGGGATATATGATCTCCATGTATAATACATAAGGGGGGGATATGATCTCACATGTATAATACATAAGGGGGGATATGATCTCCATGTATAATACATAAGGGGGGATATGATCTCCATGTATAATACATATAAGGGGGGATATGATCTCCATGTATAATACATAAGGGGGGATATGATCTCCATGTATATAATACATAGGGGGGGGATATGATCTCCATGTATAATACATAAGGGGGGATATGATCTCCATGTATAATACATAAGGGGGGGATATGATCTCCATGTATAATACATAAGGGGGGGATATGATCTCCATAAATAATACATAAGGGGGGGATATGATCACCATGTATAATACATAAGGGGGGGATATGATCTCCATGTGTATAATACATAAGGGGGGATATGATCTCCATGTATAATACATAAGGGGGGGGATATGATCTCCATGTATAAATACATAAGGGGGGGATATGATCTCCATGTATAATACATAAGGGGGGGGATATGATCTCCATGTATTATAATACATAAGGGGGGATATATGATCTCCATGTATAATACATAAGGGGGGGATATGATCTCCATGTATAATACATAAGGGGGGGATATGATGATCTCCATGTATAATACATAAGGGGGGGGGATATGATCTCCATGTATAATACATAAGGGGGGGATATGATCTCCATGTATAATACATAAGGGGGGGGATATGATCTCCATGTATAATACATAAGGGGGGATATGATCTCCATGTATAATACATAAGGGGGGGATATGATCTCCATGTATAATACATAAGGGGGGGATATGATCTCCATGTATAATACATAAGGGGGGGATATGATCTCCATGTATAATACATAAGGGGGGATATGATCTCCATGTATAATACATAAGGGGGGATATGATCTCCATGTATAATACATAAGGGGGATATGATCTCCATGTATAATACATAAGGGGGGGATATGATCTCCATGTATAATACATAAGGGGGGGATATGATCTCCATGTATAATACATAAGGGGGGGGGATATGATCTCCATGTATAATACATAAGGGGGATATGATCTCCATGTATATAATACATAAGGGGGGGATATGATCTCCATGTATATAATACATAAGGGGGGATATGATCTCCATGTATAATACATAAGGGGGGATATGATCTCCATGTATAATACATAAGGGGGGGATATGATCTCCATGTATAATACATAAAGGGGGGGGGGGATATGATCTCCATGTATAATACATAAGGGGGGGATATGATCTCCATGTATAATACATAAGGGGGGGGGGGATATGATCTCCATGTATAATACATAAGGGGGGGGATATGATCTCCATGTATATAATACATAAGGGGGGGATATGATCTCCATGTATAATACATAAGGGGGGATATGATCTCCATGTATAATACATAAGGGGGGATATGATCTCCATGTATAATACATAAGGGGGGGATATGATCTCCATGTATAATACATAAGGGGGGGATATGATCTCCATGAATAATACATAAGGGGGGATATGATCACCATGTATAATACATAAGGGGGGATATGATCTCCATGTATAATACATAAGGGGGGATATGATCTCCATGTATAATACATAAGGGGGGATATGATCTCCATGTATAATACATAAGGGGGGATATGATCTCCGTGTATAATACATAAGGGGGATATGGTCTCCATGTATAATACATAAGGGGGGATATGATCTCCATGTATAATACATAAGGGGGGATATGATCTCCATGTATAATACATAAGGGGGGATATGATCTCCATGTATAATACATAAGGGGGGATTCCATGTATAATACATAAGGGGGATATGATCTCTATGTATAAATACATCAGTGGTTTATATAGTGAACTCAGTGTAGAGCTATTCACCCTGAGGTCATCACAGAGGACAAGGGAGCACTCTCTACGTCTGGAGGAAAAGAGATTTAATATCCGAATATGGAAAGGCTTCTTCACAGTGAGAGCTGTGAGAATGTGGAATAGACTCCCTCAAGAGTTGGTTCTGGCCAGCTCAGTGGATTGCTTTAAAAAAGTCCTGGATAGGTCTCTCCCAGCTGGTGGACACGGGTAACTTCTGGAGAATGGAAAGTCCTAGGTCTCTCTTTTCTTTCTTTCTCTATCTTTTTCTACTTCTTTTTGTTTATTATTGTTTTCAAGACACACATCCAGTACTTTGTCTTCGAGGTGGACGGTCATATTGTCTATATTACTGATAGCCTAGCAAAGATCTGTCTGATTACCTGTAACATCTCTGATCCAGGGCTGCCTCTTCTGAGCTAAACTTTCTCTTCATATGCTATTGATAGGATTATTGTCCATCAGACACTGTTATATCAGTTTACCTGCCTGCGTGCCGCCATTATCCCTTGCAATTGTATTGTATGTTGTACGAGATGCTTCATTTAAAAAGTAAAAAAAAATGCTAATTATAAAAAAAAAGTCCTGGATCCTTTCTTGGATACACAGAATATAACTGGATATAACATTTATAGGGAAAGTTGATCCAGGGAATATCCGATTGCCTCTCGGGGGATCAGGAAGGAATTTTTTCCTGCAGGAGCAAATTGGATCATGCTTTGCTGGGGGGGTTGCCTTCCTCTGGATCAACTGTGGGTAAAGGATATACACTCCCCCCCCCCCCCTTTTATGGTTGAACTCAATGGGCTTGTGTCTTTTTTCAGCCAGACTAACTATGTAACTATGAATATAGAGATTTCCCAGGTTACTGGCTCCTCCAGGTAGCTGCCCCCTGATCTCACCTCTTTGGCCTTCCTCAAGCTGAACTTAAAGCCTGTAAATCCATTCCTAGAAGTCCTTGAGGTCATCCTGACCTTGTACATCCCGTAACTGGCCTCTCCTTTATGTGGGAAGAAACAGCAACCGTTCTGTAGAAGATAAAATGGTTATACTCCTTCCAAGCCACAGGGTTCCAGAATACATGTGTACAAATGCTAAAAATAACAAAGTAATTTTATGCTAATTGTGTGCAATATTTTCTAAAATGTTGCTATGCTGGTGGAGTCATCTTTCCCCTTTGTTGATACTACAGAAGGTCCTTCATAGCCATGTTGGAGATCTCACTTACTTGGAAGAAAACTAGGATGGTGAAGGAAGGTGGGAGGGTGAAGAACGGTGACTTGGTAATGGATGGTGAGATGGCAATGGACAGTGGGATGGTAAAAGATGGCGGGATGTGGAAGGATGGTGGAATGGTGAAAAAAAATAGGATTGTGAAGGACAGTGGGATAATGAATGAAGGTGAGATGATGGACAGTGGGATAATGAATGAATGTGAGATGGTGAAGGACAGTGGGATAGTGAAGGACTGTGAGATGGTGAAGGAAGGTGGGATAGTAAAGGAAGGGGGTATGGTACAGGATGGTGGTATGGTGAAGGACAGTGGGATAGTGAAGGACAGTGGGATAATGAATGAAGGTGGGATGATGAAGGACAGTGGGATAATGAAGGAAGGTGGGATGATGAAGGACAGTGGGATAATGAATGAAGGTGGGATGATGAAGGACAGTGGGATAATGAAGGAAGGTGGGATGATGAAGGACATTGGGATAATGAATGAAGGTGGGATGATGAAGGACAGTGGGATAATGAATGAATGTAGGATGGTGAAGGACAGTGGGATAGTGAAGGACTGTCAGATGGTGACGGAAGGTGGGATAGTAAAGGAAGGAGGGATGGTACAGGATGGTGGTATGGTGAAGGACAGTGGGATAGTGAAGGACTGTGAGATGGTGAAGGAAGGTGGGATAGTAAAGGAAGGTGGGATAGTAAAGGAAGGGGGTATGGTACAGGATGGGTGGTATGGTGAAGGACAGTGGGATAGTGAAGGACAGTGGGATAATGAATGAAGGTGGGATGATGAAGGACAGTGGGATAATGAATGAAGGTGGGATGATGAAGGACAGTGGGATAATGAATGAAGGTGGGATGATGAAGGACAGTGGGATAATGAATGAATGTCGGATGGTGAAGGACAGTGGGATAATGAATGAATGTAGGATGGTGAAGGACAGTGGGATAGTGAAGGACTGTCAGATGGTGACGGAAGGTGGGATAGTAAAGGAAGGAGGGATGGTACAGGATGGTGGTATGGTGAAGGACAGTGGGATAGTGAAGGACTGTGAGATGGTGATGGAAGGTGGGATGGTAAAGGGAGGGATGGTACAGGATGGTGGTATGGTGAAGGACAGTGGGATAGGGAAGGACTGTCAGATGGTGACGGAAGGTGGGATAGTAAAGGAAGGAGGGATGGTACAGGATGGTGGTATGGTGAAGGACAGTGGGATGGTAAGGAGTATGAGTAACAATGGGGTAATGTCCATGCTAACCTCATGCAGGTCCTGAGCTCTCTGCATCATCACCATCACTGTACATTTATAATCCCAGACCAGCGCCCAGAAATCGACCAGCGTCTGCCTCATGGGTAGTTGGGTGGCGATCAGGATGTCTTCCTTACTGTTGGACTGAAAGAACAGAGGAACACTGTAGATGAATAATATTCCTAGAAGAGAAGACCACTAAGATACAAAAATAAACTACAAAAATAATGATGCTCCTCTAATGCCGTGTAGGATTTTTTTTTTTTTCAAAGTTACAAGGGGAAAATGATCACTTTGATGTTTTACAACCATGTCTGAGGTGCATTTAAAGTGTGTGTTTCAGTAGAAGTGAATGGGGATGGTTACAAAGCGTCAATACCTGCTGAACTCTGCAAGCAGCATTAATTTTGTGTGGCAATGCTAATGCTGCCGTATATGTACACGGCTCAAAAAAAATTAAAGGAACACATTTTAATCAAAGTCTAGCATCAAGTCAGTGAAACTCCTGGGATATTGATCTGTTCGGGTAAAGTAGCAGAAGAGGTTGTTCATCAGTTTCAGACGCTTTGGTGTTAATGAAATTAACAACAGGTGCTGTCAGAGCCTAGGATTGAACCTGGGCCTTCTGCAGTGAGAGGCAATGTTTCTACTCACTGAGCCACCTGGAATGCTGGACAGCTCACTTGACAATTCTTTTTATGATCCTGCCTTGGCCTTGTTTGTCTTGAACCTTGAACTCCTTGCTCCTCCCATGAACTTCCTATAAAAGCCATGTCCATGCACTTCTTCCTTGCCAGATTATTGTGCCTTCCCAGCCAATATCCTGCTTACCGTTCCTGCTGCTGTCTACATCTTCGTTACCGACCTTTGGCTTGCTACTGACTACGATTCTGCCTCATCCTATCTACTACCATTGGTGACCGACCCTTGGCTTGTGACCGACTCTGCTTCTGTTTGATCCCTAATCAGTTTGATCCGCTTTTGGTTTCCAGCTTGTTCATTCCCTGGTGGGGTGATCCTGAGATCTGCGACCTGGTATTAGCACGCGGCCAAATCCATCTCCACCATTAGGAGCTCTGGGGAAAACTGGTTAATACTTAGACCCCGCACCTCAGGTGAGCCTGCATCATTTCCAGGGTGATCCGCTGGTGTACCAACCCTGCTGATTTCAGGTAAGCCTTACACTGCTGTAGCAACTGGTTTCTGAACCTGACCCAGACCGTGACAGGTGCACTAGATGGGCAATAATGACACAACCCCCAAAACAGGAATGGTTTTACAGGTGGAGGCCACTGACCTTGTTTTCCCTACTCATCTTTTCTGACTGTTTTTCACTAGTTTTGCATTTGGCTAGGGTCAGTGTTACTACTGGAAGCATGAGGCCATACCTGGACCCTACAGGAGGTTCACAGGCAGTCCAACTCTTCCAGGATGGCACATCAATACGTGCCATTGCCAGAAGGTTTGCTGTGTCTCCCAGAACAGTCTCAAGAGCATGGATGAGATTCCAGGAGACAGGCAGTTACTCTAGGAGAGCTGGACAGGGTCGTAGAAGGTACTTGACCCATCAGCAGGACCGGTATCTGCTCCTTTGTGCAAGGAGGAACAGGATGAGCCCTGCCAGAGCCCTACAAAATGACCTCCAGCAGGCCACTGGTGTGAATGTCTCCGACCAAACAATCAGAAACAGACTTCATGAGGGTGGCTTGACGTCCTCTAGTGGGCCCTGTGCTCACTTCCCATCACCATAGAGCCGGATTGGCATTTGCCATTGAACACCAGCATTGGCAGGTCCACCACTGGCGCCCTGTGCTTTTCACAGATGAGAGCAGTTCACCCTGAGCACATGTGACAGACGGGAAAGGGTCTGGAGAAGCCATGGAGAACGTTCTGCTGCCTGTAACATGGTTCAGGAGGACCGATTTGGTGGTGGATCAGTGATGGTCTGGGGAGGCATATCCATGGAGGGACACACAGACCTCTACAGGATAGACAATGGCACCCTGACTGCTATTAGGTATGGGGATGAAATCCTTGGACCCATTGTCAGACCCTACACTGGTGCAGTGGGTCCTGGATTCCTCCTGGTGCATGACAATACCCGGCCTCATGTGGGAAGAGTATGCAGGCAATTCCAGGAGGATGAAGGAATTTATACTATTGAATGACCCCCACGCTCACCTGACCTAAATCCAATAGAACACCTCTGGGATGGCATGTTTTGGTCCAGCTGACGCTGCCAGGTTGCACCTCCGACTGTCCAGGCGCTCAGTGATGCCCTGGTCCAGATCTGGGAGGAAATACCCCAGGACACCATCCGTCATCTCAGAAGCATGTTGACAGGCATGCATACAAGCATGTGGGGGCCATAAAGACTACTGAGGACCATTTTGAGTTGCTGCAATGACATTTCAGCAAAATGGACTCGCCTAAATTCAGTCCTCTGTAGACTGATAATTTTAATTTCAATCAAACAATGGGGCATCCTTACATCTCTAACACACTACCACGTCTATATCAGTATACAGTTGTGTTGAAAATACTAGCAGTCAGACATCACTAACCGGATCAATCACTGTTTTTGGTGGAAATGATATCTCTACATGGCAAATAATTTCCTATCAGGTGTAGTAGAGTCATAGAAATCCAACAGACCCAACAGTCATGACATGCATGCTGCTGATTCTGTGTCATTGAATCACTCATTGAAAGGGGCGTGTTCACAATAATAGCCGTGTGGAGTTCTATTAGTGACGTCATTCATTCTTTGATAAACAGGTGGCAATTATTGCCCTTATTTAAGGAAGGAAGGCAGCAAATGTTGGACATGCTGGTTACAGTGCAGTTCTCTCTGAAATTCTGAGGAAAATGGGTTGTTCCAGACATTGTTCAGGAGAACAGCGTACCTTGATTAAAAAGTTGATTGGAGGGGAAAACATATAAAGAAGTGCAGAAAATGATCGGCTGCTCAGCTAAAATGATGGCAAATGCTTTAAAATGGCAACCAAAACCTGAAAGACGTGGAAGAAAGCGAAAAACTACCATTGGAATGGATAGAAGAATAGCCAAAATGGCGCGGACTCAGCCAACAATCAGCTCCAGGAAGATGAAAGAAGGTGTGACGTTCCCTGTGAGGACTGTTACAATTAGAAGACGCCTATGTGAAGCCAAGCTATCTGCAAGAAGTCCCCGCAAAGTCCCACTGTTGGGAAAAAGACGTGCTGAAGAGGTTACAATCTGCCAAAGAGCACATTGACCGGCCTAAAGAGAAATGGTGCAACATTTTGTGGACTGATGGAAGTAAGATTGTTCTTTTTGGGTCTAGTGGGCGGAGACAGTTTGTCAGACGACCCCCAAACACTGAATTCAAGCCACAGTACACTGTGAAGACCGTGAAGCATGGTGGTGCAAGCATCATGATATGGGGATGTTTCTCATACTACGGTGTTGGGCCTATTTATCACATACCAGGGATCATGGATCAGTTTGAATCCATCAGAATACTTGAAGAGGACATGCTGCCTTATGCTGAAGAGGAAATACCCTTGAAATGGGTGTTCCAACAAAACAACGACCCCAAACACACCAGTAAACATGCAACATCTTGGTTCCAGACCAACAAGATTGACGTTATGGGGTGTCCAGCCCAATCCCCGGATCTTCATCCAATAGAAAACTTGTGGGGTGACATCAAAAATGCCGTTTCTGAGGCAAAACCAAGAAATAGAGAAGAACTGTGGAATGTGGTCCAATCATCCTGGGCTGGAATACCTGATCACAGGGGCCAGAAGTTGGGGGACTCCATGCAACACAGATGTACAGCAGTTCTCAAGAAACAGTGCGACTACAACCAAATATTCATGAAGTCATTCAAAGGAAAGCAAAATCTTCAAACATTTCTCAGTTTATATAGTGAATGTTGGAGTTTGTAAAGAAGAATACAAACACTGCGATTTTTTTGAACCGTCTAATATTCACTTTTCTTCCATTTTTTTTTTTTTTTTAGAGGAACAACACAAATTTGATGTATTTTTCTTCATGTTGTGATTTGGAATAGAATGTGTCGTGTTCCCAATGCATTTGTGTGGATGGAAATAAAAGGATTAGGAGTTTCAGCTTTATTCACTTTTTTCAACACACGGCTATTATTTTGAACACAACTGTAGAGATCCAGCAGAAGATTCGTCCCCATTGAGATCTGATGTGTTTTCAAAGTCTTCCTTTCATTTTTTTGAGCCGTGTACTTCCATCCACTCCCTATTTTAACCATTTTGAGTGGTGTTGATAAGCGGATTGTAAGCAGAAAAAATTCAACCCAACTGCTTGTGAAGGAGCCCCTACAGAGTAAGAGAATTAAACTATATTGCCAAAAGTATTGGGATGCCTGCATTTACATGCATAGGAACTTGAATGTCCGTAGAGTTCAATATTGAGTTGGCCCCGCCCTTTGCAGCTATAACAGCTTCAACTCTTCTGGGAAGGCCGTCCACAAGGTTTAGGAGGGTGTCTATGGGAAGGTTGGACTATTCTTCCAGAAGCACATTTGCCAGGTCAGGCACTGATGTCGGGGGAGGAGGCCTGGCTTGCAATCTCCACTCTAATTTATCCCAAAGGTGTTCTATGGGGTTGAGGTCAGGATTCTGTGCAGGCCAGTCAAGTTCCTCCACCCCAAACTGGCTCATCCATGTCTTTATGGACCTTGCTTTGTGCACTGGTACACAGTCATGTTGGAACAGGAAGGGACCATCTCCAAACTCTTCCCACAAAGTTGGGAGCATGAAATTGTCCAAAATGTCTTGGTATGCTGATGCCTTAAGAGCTCCCTTCACTGGAACTAGGGGGGCCAAGCCCAACCCCTGAGAAACAACCCCACACCATAATCCCCCTCTCCACCAAACTTTACACTTTGGACAATGCAGTCAGGCAAGTACCGTTCTCCTGGCAACTGTCAAACTCAGACACGACCATTGGATTGCCAGACAGAGAAGTGTGATTGGTCACTTCAGAGAACACATCTCTACTGCTCTACAGTCCAGTGGCGGTGTGCTTTACACCACGGCATCCAACGCTTTGCATTGCACTTGGTGAAGTAAGGCTTGGATGCAGCTGCTCGGCCATGGAAACCCATTCCATGAAGCTCTCTACGCACTGTTGTTGTGCTCATCTGAAGGTCACACCAAGTTTGGAGGTCTTTAGCTATAGACTCTGCAGAGAGTTGGTGACTTCTGTGAACTGTGCGCTTCAGCATGCGCTGACCCCGCCCGGTCATGTGACATGGCCTACCACTGGGTGGCTGAGCCAGGAAATGTCACGGATGGACTTATTGCACAGGTGGCCACCTATCACGGGACCATGCGTGGAGTCACTGAGCTCCTGAGAGAGACCCATTCTTTCACCAATGTTTGTAGAAGCAGTCTGCATGCCTAGGGGCTTGATTGTATATACCTGTGTCCATGGAGGGGATTGGAACACCTGAATCACATGATTTGGAGGGCAGGGACAATACTTTTGGCAGTATAGTGTAGTGTATATCCTGAGACGCAAATTATTTCTGCGTGTCACAGCCCCGCCTCCTGATACATGTCAGACCTGGCACATTCAGTATATAATACAAATCTGTTAAGTTAATGAATATTCATAAACCAGTGAATTTGTACAAATTTTTTATTAGTGGATGTAATGTGAAACGCACACTTTATAGGGACTGGGATCTTTCAGCTTGGCTCGGCTTGGTCCCTCCTGTTTGGGAAGTTACTTTCCTTTCAGAATCCACATTTTCTCTGGGGTACTATACTGCAAATTCCTCCCACAAATGCTGACAATTGATTGCAGACAAGATTTATTCATTTGCACACACAAAAAAGTATTTTTTCTAACAAATTCATCCAAGACCATGTTGCAAAAATGAACACACCCCAATGAAAGTCTAAGGAGCAAAGCTAAATTTTAGACACCAAAATCCTAATGAACAAGAATTCAACTCCAGGTGAGTCTAATTATTCATTAAACAGGTGTCCAGCAGACAGGTGATTGTAAAAGGACGTTACTTAAAGAAAACCCCGCCTTATTTCATGCTGTCAGCGAGGGCACCACATGGAAGAGAAATGTAACAAGGCTTGAGAAAGAAAATAATTTCTTTATACAAGAAAGGTGAAGGCTACAAGAAGATCAGCAAAGCTTTACTTATCAGTCAGAATACTAGAGCAAAAGTGATATAAAAATTTAACAAAGATGGAACTGCAACCATCTCACAGAGACGTCCAGGCCATCCACGGAAGTAAACACCTCGACAGGAGCATCTTCTGATGGGAGGTTTTTTAAAAAATTGCCACGCAAGTTCACTGGCTTTCTACTTCTTTAGCTAACTGCAAACTGGGGTGATTGTTTTCCGTGACACAATACAGAGTACACTGCAAAGGAATGGCATGCATGGGTGTTGTCCATGAAGGAAGCCTCTTCTACAGTCCATGCACAAAAAAGCCCACCTAAAATTTGCCAGAGCCCATGCTGGAAAAGAAGGAGATTACTGGGACTCTGTACTCTGGAGTGATGAGACCAAGATAAATGTTTTTGGAAGTGATGGCTTTAAAACTGTATGGTGTCACAAAGGTGAGGAGTACAAAGAGAAATGCATGGTGCCTACAGTGAAACATGGTGGTGGCAGTGTCCTCCTGTGGGGCTGCATGAGTGCTGCTGGTGTCAGGGAGCTGAATTTCATTGATGGTGTCATGAATTCACAGATGAACTGCTCTATATTGAAGGAGAAGATGCTCCCATCACTCCGTGCCCTCAGTCGTTGTGCACCTTTCCAACATGACAATGATCCAAAACACACATCTAAGGCCACTGTTTGCATTTCTGAAGAAGAACGGGGGAAAGTGATTCCGTGGCCAAGTATGTCTCCTGATCTGCACCCAATCCAACACCTATGGGGAGTTCTGAAGAGACAAGTTGAGAATCACTCAACATCCAGCCTCCCGGATCTAAAAGAGGTCGTTCTTGAAGAATGGAAAAAGATTGATGTTGCAATATGTCGCCAACATGTTCATTCCATGCCTAGAAGACTTGGTGCTGTCTCTACAAATCATGGAGGTCATACAACATACTAGATGGAGGAGTTCTTGTTGTGGGGTGGATTCATTTTTACATCAACTCATTTGAGTAAAACAGAAGATTTTGTCATCAAAGTTCGATTATTAACCTTCCTTTCATGTCATGAGCCGAACAAATGTTTGGAAATTGTTCTTGATTGATTAAAATCTTAGTTTTCAAAAGGGGTGTTCTCGTTTATGCTGAACACTGTGTGTGTGTGTGTGTGTGTGTGTGTGTGTATATATATATATACACGGTGGGGCAAAAAAGTATTTAGTCAGCCACCAATTGTACAAGTTCTCCCACTTACAAAGATGAGAGAGGTCTGTAATTGGCATCATAGGGAGACCTCAACTATGAGAGACAAAATGAGAAAACAAATCCAGACAATCTCATTGGCTGATCTGGAAAGAATTTATTTGCAAATTATGGTGGAAAATAAGTATTTGGTCAATATGAAAAGTTCATCTCAATACTTTGTTATATATCCTTTGTTGGCAATGACAGAGGTCAAATGTTTCCTGAAAGTCTTCACAAGGTTGGCACACACTGTTGCTGGTATGTTGGCCCATCCTCCATGCAGATCTCCTCTAGAGCAGTGATGTTTTGGGGCTGTCGCTGGGCAACACGGACTTTCAACTCCCTCCAAAGGTTTTCTATGGGGTTGAAATCTGGAGACTGGCTAGGCCACTCCAGGACCTTGAAATGCTTCTTACGAAGCCTCTCCTTTATTGTCCCGGTGGTATGTTTAGGCTCATTGTCATGTTGGAAGACCCAGCCACGTTTCATCTTCAATGACCTCGCTGATGGAAGGAGGTTTGCACTCAAAATCTCACGATACATGGCCCCATTCATTCTGTCCTGTACATGGATCAGTCGTCCTGGTCCGTTTGCGGAGAAACAGCCCCAAAGCATGATGTTGCCACCCCCATGCTTCACAGTAGGTATGGTGTTCTTTGGATGCCACTCAGCATTCTCTCTCCTCCAAACACGACGAGTTGTGTTTCTACCAAACAGCTCTAATTTGGTTTCATCTGACCATATGACATTCTCCCAATCCTCTTCTGGATCATCCAAATGCTCTCTAGCAAACTTCAGACGGGCCCCGGACATGTACTGGCTTAAGCAGGGGGACACGTCTGGCACTGCAGGATCTGAGTACCTGGCGGCGTAGTGTGTTACTGATGGTAGCATTTGTTATGTTGGTCCCAGCTCTCTGCAGGTCATTCACTAGGTCCCCCTGTGTGGTCCTGGGATTTTTGCTCACCGTTCCTGTGATCATTTTGACCCCACGGAGTGAGATCTTGCGTGGAGCCCCAGATCGAGGGAGATTATCAGTGGTCTTGTATGTCTTCCATTTTCTAATTATTGCTCCCACAGTTGATTTGTTCACACCAAGCTGCTTGCCTATTGCAGATTCAGTCTTCCCAGCCTGGTGCAAGTCTACAATTTTGTTTCTGGTGTCCTTCGACAGCTCTTTGGTCTTCACCATAGTGGAGTTTGGAGTGTGACTGTTTGAGGTTGTGGACAGGTGTCTTTTATACTGATAACAAGTTCAAACAGGTGCCATTGATACAGGTAATGAGTGCAGGACAGAGGAGCCTCTTAAAGAAGAAGGTCCAGGTCTGTGAGAGCCAGAAATCTTGCTTGTTTGTAGGTCACCAAATACTTATTTTCCACCATAATTTGCAAATAAATTCTTTCCAGATCAGCCAATGAGATTGTCTGGATTTGTTTTCTCATTTTGTCTCTCATAGTTGAGGTCTCCCTATGATGCCAATTACAGGCCTCTCTCATCTCTGTAAGTGGGAGAACTTGTACAATTGGTGGCGGACTAAATACTTTTTTGCCCCACTGTATATATTAAAAAAATGTTGCAATAATATATAAATATACTATGTTTATGTTGCTTTCTAATATTGATGCTCCTTTATAATAATCCCGCCTTTTTCCGTGACCGGGAAGCACTGAGTTGGGATGATCCTTACATTCACAAACACAGCATTGATGTATCCAGGAGCCTCCCGCGTGTTCAGTGCGGACATCAGGGCTGGCCGCCAGTCATCACCTGCAGACAGAGAGAACACTTTAGGTGAGAAGACATCTGGCCATGTGTCAGAGTTTTACTTTATCTTTTGGCTGTAAAATCCCCACCAAAATCTGTTTCATAGTTTTGTAAGGATATTGGGAGGGTTAGAAGGGTCAGCATACAAAGGAGTGCTTTATGGTAAGAGTGGTACAGCTGAGGAAAGTCACAGACTGTAAAGGAGGACTTGTACCTCACAACTTGTTATAGTGATCACATGCATGCAATTAAACAGTCAGCCTGAATGTAAACGCTGCCACCTACCTGCTGCAGTGGGATCTGCAGTACCACTTGTTTGATAGTGTAATTGTCAGATACAGTTGCATTATCAAAAATAATAATACATTTATCGTAAAGAGTAGAAATGTTATTTTCCCTAAATTATTGCCAGTGTCTAATAAATACAATATATCCAAATAAAGCTTTATTTTTTAGGTATTCAAATTAGTCATAGAGTTATTATCAAGTTAACTGATGCATGGCTACACTGCGTACAAATAAGGTTTCATTTGGAAATATTTTGATCCAGGGACTACTTCCAACTGCCTTTGAGGTACTTCAAATATACACTCACTGGCCACTTTATTAGGTGCACCTGTCCAATTGCTTGCTGACACAAATTGCTAATCAGCCAATCACACGGCTGCAACTCAATGCATTTAGGCATATAGATGTGGTGAAGACCACTTGCTGAAGTTCAAACCGAGCATCAGAATAGGGAAGAAAGGGGATTGAAGTGACTTTGAACGTGGCGTGCTTGTTGGTGTCAGACGGGCTGGTCTGAGTGTTTAAAAAACTGCTGATCTACTGGCATTTTCACGCACAACCATCTCTAGGGTAAGAATCCTGAAGCCCCTCAACTCAAGGTCACCATAATATCACAATATATACACTCAGCAGCCACTTTATTAGGCCCACCTGCTCAATTGCTTGGTAACACAAATTGCTAATTAGCCAATCACATGGCAGTAACTCAATGCATTTAGGCATGCAGATGTGGGGAAGACGTGCTGATGTTCACCGAGTATCAGAATGGGAATTTAATGGACTTTGAATATGGCATTAATGTTGGTGCCAGAGGGGTAGTCTGAGTATTTCTGAGTATTTCAAAAACTGCTGTTCTACTGGGATTTTCACGTACAACCATCTCTACAGAGAATGGTCTGAAAAAGAGAAAATATCTAGTGAGAAGCAGTTGGGTGGAGGAAAATGCCTTGTTGATGTCAGAGGAGAATGGGCAGACTGGTTGGAGATGATAGAAAGGCAACAGTAACTCCCAAAACCACTCGTTACAACCAAGGTATGCACAATACCATCTCTGAATGCCCAACACATCCAACCTTGAAGCAGATGGACTACAGCAGCAGCAGAAGACCACTCCAGGTGCCACTCCTGTCAGCTAAGAACAGGAAACGGAGGCTACAATTGTCACAGGCTCACCAAGATTGGACAATAGAAGATCGGAAAAACGTTGGCTGGTCTGATGAGTCTGGATTTCAGCTGCGACATTCAGATGGTAGGGTCAGAATTTGGTGTAAAAAACATGAAAGCATGGATCCATCCTGCCTTGTATCAACGGTTCAGGCTGGTGTTGTCATGGTGTAGTGGATCCATCCTGCCATGTATCAACGGTTCAGGCTGGTGTTGTCATGGTGTGGTGGATCCATCCTTCCTTGCATCAACGGTTCAGGCTGGTGGTGTCATGGTGTAGTGGATCCATCCTGCCATGTATCAATGGTTCAGGCTGGTGGTGTCATGGTGTGGTGGATCCATCCTGCCTTGCATCAACGGTTCAGACTGGTGGTATCATGGTGTGGGGGATCCATACTGCCTAGTATCAATGGTCCATGGATGTGCAGCCGACAAATCTGCAGCAACTATGTGATGCCATCACGTCAATATGGACCAAAATCTCTGAGTAATGTTTCCAACACCTTGTTGGATCTATACCAAGAAGAATGAAGGCAAAAGGGGGTCCAACTCAGGACTAGCTGTGCCAAATATCATTGCGACATAAAAAATTTGCTACATAAAACATTGCTACAGCCACAATTCTATTTTCCAGGGTCTTTGCTTTAAATATATATATCATTTTTGTAACTTCCAAGTAGTGCAGCAAAACATGCTGATTTGTGTGTGGAAAAAAAAAATTGCTCCAAACAGCAAGTGATTAATTGGTAATTAATAAAATACATTATTTGTTTAAAGAAAAAGAGAAAAAAAAAAAAAAAAAGACAATTTCCCCCCAAAATATTACATTGTTCCCCTATAAAACAGTGATATCACCTGGCAGGATATTGGGGTTACGATTCTTCTCCAGGTTTTCCAGCTTATTTCCTTCTTTACATTGATAGATCTGATATAATTCTGTGAGTTTCTCCAGATCCTGAAAGGAAAATCATTTTGTTAAAGATTTACACTATATTGCCAAAAGTATTGTCCCCGCCCTCCCAATTATGTGATTCAGGTGTTCCAATCCCCTCCATGGACACAGGTGTATACAATCAAGCCCCTAGGCATGCAGACTGCTTCTACAAACATTGGTGAAAGAATGGGTCGCTCTCAGGAGCTCAGTGACTCCAAGCGTGGTCCCGTGATAGGTGGCCACCTGGGCAATAAGTCCATCCATGACATTTCCTGGCTACTAAATATTCCACACTCAACTGTTAGTGGGATTATAACAAAGTGGAAGCAACTGGGAACAACAGCCACCAAGTGGTAGGCCACGTCACATTTCAGAGCATGCTGAAGCGCACAGTGCACAAAAGAACTGTCTGCAGAGTCAATAGCTAAAGACCTCCAAACTTCGTGTGGCCTTCAGATGAGCCCAACAACAGTGCGTAGTGAGCTTCATGGAATGGGTTTCCATGGCCGAGCAGCTGCATCCAAGCCTTCCATCACCAAGTGCAATGCAAAGTGTCAGATGCCGTGGTGTAAAGCACGCTGACACTGGACTCTAGAGCAGAGGAGACGTGTTCTCTGGAGTGACCAATCACGCTTCTCTGTCTGGCAATCCGATGGATGTGTCTGGGTTTGGTGGTTGCTAGGAGAACGGTACTTGCCTGACTGCATTGTGCCAAGTGTAAAGTTTGGTGGAGAGGGGATTATGGTGTGGGGTTGTTTTTCAGGGGTTGGGCTTGGCCCCTTAGTTCCAGTAAAGGGAATTTTTAATTCATCAGCATATCAAGACATTTTGGACAATTTCATGCTCCCAACTTTGTGGGAAGAGTTTGGGGATGACCCCCTCAACATGACTGTGCACCAGTGCACAAAGCAATGTCCATAAAGACATGGAGGAGCCAGTTTGGGGTGGAGGAACTTGACTGGCCTGCACAGAGTCCTGACCTCAACCCCATAGAACACCTTTGGGATGAATTAGAGCGGAGACTGTGAGCCAGGCCTCCTCCCCCGACATCAGTGCCTGACCTGACAAATATGCTTCTGGAAGAATGGTCCAACCTTCCCATAGACACCCTCCTAAACCTTGTGGACGGCCTTCCCAGAAGAGCTGAAGCTGTTATAGCTGCAAAGGGCGGGGCCAACTCAATATTGAACCCTACGGACTAAGACTGTAAGGACATTAAAGGTCACATGTGTGGAAAGGCCGGCGGAAACAATACGTTTGGCAATATAGTGCATATTATCTTTTATATATGACATAGAAGAATTATGACCAAAAATTTTGAATGAGGTGGTGTGGAGTAGAGAAGGTACAGGACGGTGTACAGAATGAGGAATAGTGGAATAAGCAACATACAGTTCAATGTATAACACACAGTAAGGTATTGTCCTCTTCAGTGCACACCAATGCACATATACAGAGCAGTATAGAGCACCACACTACACAGGTGTGAGAACTCTGTAGATTGAGGTTTCCAGAGGTTCAGCTCATGAACCAGTAGAAGGTCCTCTGAGACTCTGTCCAGTGCGGACTTCCTGCTTGAGTCACACACTGGATTATACATGGACTATGTGTGCCACTCACACCGCTTCAGAATCTGAGGTCTGGCAGATGGATACAGAGGAAGCAGAAGTGACTGCACCAGGCAATGGCAGCCGCCACAACACCAGCCAGTTCCTGAAACTACTTCTCAGTGTCCTGAATCATATGGGACAGCCCAAAGGACATGGGCACTGCAGGACACTGGACTGTTCCACAAGATCTCTGGTATACTTGGCAACCTTACAGTCCACATACCAAACGTAAACCTGTGTAAGCTCTATGACCAACATGGAGCTTACACAGGAATTAAAGTCATGGCTCTAGAAGAGGAACCCAGCAGAGTTACCAGGGGTAGCGGTTGACCTATCAGAAGAACCTGTTGCCATACCTGGGATGGGCAGTGTGACAGATTCCCTTTAACATGTTTAGCACCCTCCTAGGAAAACTAGGGGGAGCTAGATAATTATTTTTTAGACAGGAGGCTGAATAGCAGTTGGAAGAAATAGCCAGAGGGGCCAAATTTGGGTCAGGGCTGAGAGGCTCTGCAGATCATCTCTCTGAAACCTTCCCCTGCTCTAGAGACTTGGAGAAGTCTCTAAAGCTCAGTGGGCGGGGGTGACGAGTGGGTGGGCTGTTTGCCTAAAGGATCTCAACCAGTCCCCAAGCAGGAGGTTTGGCAAGGGGGTGGGACAGCTTTTAGGCAGAGCTGAGCCTGCTCAGTAGAAGAGGGAGAGTTCGGGTGGAAAATGTGAGAGCAGGAGCAGGAGTGTGGAGTCTGGGATGGGGCTCAGGAAAGGGGCCTGCTACGAGGATAGACTTGACAAAGGGAAAGCTGAACATCCCCCCCCCTGAGAGAAGACCATCTGTGGAGCTCCCCAGCCCCCTGAGAGAAGACCATCTGTGGAGCTCCCCAGCCCCCTGAGAGAGGACCATCTGTGGAACTCCCCAGCCCCCTGAGAGAGGACCATCTGTGGAACTCCCCAGCCCCCTGAGAGAGGACCATCTGTGGAACTCCCCAGCCCCCTGAGAGA